CCTTAGGAGAGTTTATTTGACAATTATTTGTGAATGGTGTTTGTACTTTGCTTATGATTGTTGTTTGATTGCATTTTGTGTTTTGTGCATTTTTTTGGTAAAATGACAACACGTTTTGAGTTGTGCTTTTTTAATGAAAAAATTAATTTTTCAATTTGGAAAAATGAAAAGGTTTTTCATAAAACTTTTGATGGCAAATGTAGGTCTAATGCAAGTGCGAAAAATAAGATGTGTTTAACTGCGGTAAATTTGGATGTGGTGAAATAGATTGTCCTAGGAATAATAATAAAATGAAAGATAAGGAGAAGGTGAGACAAATATTGATACTAGGTTGAGTTATGACCTGAGTGAGGTTTATTGAGAGTAAACTTGACTACTGTATGTGCATCTGCATGTAATCCTTTCTGTATGTATGTCATTGTTTAATTATGTTGCATGGTTATATTTCACATTTCAATATGTTAGATATGTGCATTTGCATGAATTTGAGAGCAATCAGATTACTTTGTGTAATGTGTTTGCATGCATGCGTACTCCTTTTGCTCTATGAGTAGTGTGAGATAGTGTGGCAATGAGAAGAAAGAGAGACGACCATTTTCTCATTCATCTTTGTGAGCTTCTATGGTTTGTGAGATTACGTGAAACAGCCATACGTGAGTTATCTTCTTTCTCTTTGTGAACCTCTTTTGTGAGTAATTGGAATAATCAACTATTTCTTCTATTCTCTTTGTGAGTGCCACCTTCACCTAAATCTTCTGTGAATTTTTTGGGTATTAGTGTTGGAGTAACCTTGTGGGACGTGGGCTGATTTAAATTGAGCTCTAACCTTTGTGATCATCAAATGTGTTGATTTGTCATAGTGGATTTGTGAAGCATTAGCAGTGAGTATGTCTGTTGGTAATGTGGAGTATAGATGCCTGAAGGTGTATTTGTGATATTTGGATCACGAGTGGAGATGTGATTAAATGTTGGAGTCCTTTATCGGTAAAGAGACCTGATCAGGTAAAGTGTGAGAGAGACTTCTATCAGTTCTGTTAGATAGGGACCCATTATCCACTTAGGTTGGGAGAAGTGGTGTGGTGATAAAGGATTATTCCAATAACTTAGAATTTATAGAGATTTACTAGTTACGCATGAGTTGAGTGATCAATTTCGTGAGCATGTGGGGCGATGAGAGCAGATATGTGTTCTCAAGGTATGAGCAACACGGAATGAGATAGAATAAGTGTTGTGAGATCTTTTCGTGGGAACATTTATGCATTTGTTGCATATGTGTTTTAACCGTTTAATTGATTAACTTGGTGTTAATCTATTGTTTTGTATGAACGTATTTTTTGGAAAGATCTGTGAATTATCCTATATTATATCTTCATCGCATGATTATTTACTCTTGATTGTTTGCTGTTATTATCTGCTTATACTTGAGTGTTTTTGACCTTAGCCCCGATAAGTATATGGAGCAGGTATGGTATGTATTTTGAGTCCGAAGCACAAGGTAATGTTTTTGACTTCAATTTTATTGGTTACCTCGATTAGATAAGTATAAACTATGCGTTTTGTTTGCTTGAGGGTTGATTGAGTATAAATGTGGAGACTTGTTGGGTTTTTTGATACTCAATAAATCTCGGGCGATAATGTTAAACCGATGTTGGATAATTTATATCAACACCTTAGCGATGGCTCGATCCGAAATTAACTTGGGGCCACTAAAAGCAACTTAATTGAGTTAATGTTGCTCGTGTTCCAACACTCGTGGATGGCCCAAGTTGTGGTTATTAGTTGGATTGTGATTTATGTTGGCCCATTTATTATCCGTTAGTTGTCGTCGTTAAATGGCAGCCCATTTAGTGAACTTTGGCCCAATTGGAGTGACCTAACTAATGCTATATTTATCCATCTCTTTCCAACCGTTGAGAGTGTCTGTTGGTTTGTGAGAAAGAGAGAAACGTAAGGTTTGGCCAGTTTTGGTTCTTCTTCCTTGAGGTTCCAATTGCTACTCTATTTCCTCTTCCTTTGTGGCTTGCAAAACCAATCACCTAGTGTATCCTTTGTGGGTGAGTAAACTTGTGGCAATCAAGTGGTAAAGTTGCCTTCTTGGTTGGTGTTTGTTTGGTTGATTAAAGTGAGCATGGATCAAGATTTCTCGAGGATCTCCGCAACGACACCTCATGTCTCAAGCCATTTTTATTGGTTAAACCTAAGAACACATTCTTCCACTTCTGGAGGTAATTGGCGATGCCTCGTCCATTCTTCGGTATCTCTTCTCATTATTCTCCAATCTTCAACTCTTACCATCATTGATTCCAAGTAACTCTGATTGAGAGAAGGGAAACTATAAATGACTACAGAAAATCGGAGAATAATATCCAAATGGAAATAATCAACAATTTAAATAGAATAGGAGTATAAACATTTTTATGCTTATGAAGCAAATACAATGCTGTCCTCTATGACTATTCTAGAATTCTAATTCCCACCTAGTTGAAGACAGATACTATACCTGCATGTTGCCTATAAACCTTGCAAAAAGAATCAGAACTCCGATGCATAAGATAATGCAAAA